AACTACCGTCACTGTGTGTCCATGTATCGTTATGCTACTCTAACCACCGTCACTGTGTGTCCATGTATCGTTATGCTACTCTAACCACCGTCACTGTGTGTCCATGTATCGTTATGCTACTCTAACCACCGTCACTGTGTGTCCATGTATCGTTATGCTACTCTAACCACCGTCACCGTGTGTCCATGTATCGTTATGCTACTCTAACCACCGTCACTGTATGTGTGTCCATATATCGTTATGCTACTCTAACCACCGTCACTGTGTGTCCATGTATCGTTATGCTACTCTAACCACCGTCACTGTGTGTCCATGTATCGTTATTCTACTCTAACCACCTTCACTGCCCGTGTGAAAACCTTGGGTGACAATTATTTTCTCTAATCCCTGCTACATCACATTATGTTTGTCCTCGACACATGACAGGTTGTGTCTATCAAAGGACCAATCACAAAGCTCTAACTAATCACTGAGTTAAGCTCTGTAACCGCTTGACTGCATCTTTCGTCAACATCATAGTCTTGTCTGCTGTTGAGTCTTCTTTTATGTCTACTGTTTAGTTTGTTGTTTAGTCTGTTGTTTAGTCTGTTGTCCAGTCTGCTATTTAGTCTTCTTTTATGTCTGATGTTTAATCTGCAGTTTGCTCTACAGTACTATAGTAAAGTCTGATGTGTAATCTACGGTTTAGTGTGATGTCTATTATGATGTTTAGTCTGATGTTTAGTCTGATGTTTAGTCTACTGTTTTAACCTTGTAGCAACAATAATTGTTAAATAATTGTTAAAAAGAAATCTCAGATAAAGCAAATTTTAAAAAACCATGGCCAAAATCTCAAGGTAGACTTGTTTGAAACAATGTTTGTCGATGTTTGAATCTCATTTGTTTTAAACTGCATCACACTAGACCCCACCCATAAGTTAATGACGTCAGATAAATTAGATAAATAATTTTTGAGATTTTTCTTTCGTTCATGGAGTTAAAAACGAATCGTTTTTCAAATTGTTTTGATGTTCGGCGGGTTTATTTTAAAGTATGTTGAGATCAAACATGAAATGGAAAGTTATAACTATTAATGTAAGACATAAATTAGGGTTGCTAAATTAATTAGTTAACCTGCCATAGTTTCCGTGTGGGACAATTTTAAAACATGGGCAACTGTGGGATCGCGGGGAGGAGTTGAGGGAGGAGAACCGATGAATCATAGCGCTACTATATTAATGATAATTCATTACAGTTACTAGATTAATGGGGAATTATTAGAGTTACTAGATTAACTGTAGTTAACTGCTTCTATCTGACTATTATTTCAGTCTCTGCCGGTGATAAAATAGTGAAGAGGATAGACAGCCTCTACCAGATGGTGAACTATCACATCCTCTAGGTCACGGTAACAGGGGTCAACAACACCTTTATGCAAAGAATAATGTCTAGATTTTACGCACATTATTTTGAATGGATTGCGCTTTCAAAAATATTTTTACTTCTGCTGTCTTGTTTTGCAGATGCATCTTTTATATAGATTTGATGTAAATGTTTACTACAATTCTGATAAAAGCAGTCTTGTATTTTATAAAAAACAAATCCAGATTTATGTAGTCACAAAACAACGAACGCTATCCCAGAATTTAGACTAACGATATTGTATAGCCCCGCGGTAGCCGCGGCCGCTACATTAAACACCAAATCTTACAGCGATATACTATATCTATTCCCATAGAGGTATCATTGCAACACCTATTGTTTTCTTCTCATCATGGATTTTGTGATATTTTTGCCTAAAGCAGTAACATTCGGCAGAAGAAAACTGCACGCAGATAATGTTTTCTCATCTAGAACACGGGATTGGTTCTAAGGTTTCCATAAGTAGGATACAACTAACATATCAAAGACGAAATAGTAAGGGCGCCAGGAATCTCGCTCGACATGATCACATTGCTACACAAACAAACAAAAAAAAAGTGCATTTGAAAGAAAAAACTTTGAAGCCCGTGACCGAGTCAACTTAAAAATCAACGAAAACCGAGGTATCACTTAAAATGTTTTACACTGCACGGTGCATGTATATGTCGTTACACCGATCCCCGCGGGCTACATTACTCCCATGATTTGATGCTCCAGTTCAATATCCGATTGCTATCAGCTTTATTGAATCTTGTTCAATGTTACAGGTAAAGTTATGCAATCAGCTTTATTGAATCTTGTTCAATGCTACAGGTAAAGTTACGCTATCACCTTTATTAAACCTTGTTCAATGTTACAGGTTAACTTATGCAATCAGTTTTATTGAATCTTGTTCAATGTTACAGGTTAACTTATGGTATCAGCTTCATTAAATCTTGTTCAATGTTACAGGTTAACTTATGCTATCAGCTTCATTAAATCTTGTTCAATGTTACAGGTTAACTTATGTTATCAGCTTCATTAAATCTTATTCAATGTTACAGGTTAACTTATGCTATCAGCTTCATTAAATCTTGTTCAATGTTACAGGTTAACTTATGCTATCAGCTTCATTAAATCTTGTTCAATGTTACAGGTTAACTTATGCTATCAGCTTCATTAAATCTTGTTCAATGTTACAGGTTAACTTATGCTATCAGCTTCATTAAATCTTGTTCAATGTTACAGGTTAACTTATGCTATCAGCTTCATTAAATCTTGTTCAATGTTACAGGTTAACTTATGCTATCAGCTTCATTAAATCTTGTTCAATGTTACAGGTTAACTTATGCTATCAGCTTCATTAAATCTTGTTCAATGTTACAGGTTAACTTATGCTATCAGCTTCATTAAATCTTGTTCAATGTTACAGGTTAACTTATGCTATCAGCTTCATTAAATCTTGTTCAATGTTACAGGTTAACTTATGCTATCAGCTTCATTAAATCTTGTTCAATGTTACAGGTTAACTTATGCTATCAGCTTCATTAAATCTTGTTCAATGTTACAGGTTAACTTATGCTATCAGCTTCATTAAATCTTGTTCAATGTTACAGGTTAACTTATGCTATCAGCTTCATTAAATCTTGTTCAATGTTACAGGTTAACTTATGCTATCAGCTTCATTAAATCTTGTTCAATGTTACAGGTTAACTTATGCTATCAGCTTCATTAAATCTTGTTCAATGTTACAGGTTAACTTATGCTATCAGCTTCATTAAATCTTGTTCAATGTTACAGGTTAACTTATAGGCTACATCATCGAAAACATAATTTTACCGGTGTCAGGAGACGAGCGTCAGTCAGTCATTTGGACAATGATGCGTTTGTTAATAAAAGGAAAAGCGGGTAGTTTTCCTGCACATTTATTTGAAAGCATATATTAGAATTTGCAACTATAATAACCGTTAAACAAAATATTGTCAGTTTAATAGATTTATTTGTGTTATTCTTTGTGAATTTCGTCCGTGTTTGGTGGACACGTTCATACTTAAGATGGGAAGGGGGTGGAAAAGGGGGGGGGGGTTAACCCCTCCTCTATCCACCCCGGAGAGATTCTTGAAATAATAACTGTTAATCAGAAGCCGTTTTTAATGTACATATTTGATATGAATTTTAATGTAGAGTGTGAGAAATACCCGTCTTTATTAGGCCAATTTTATATGCACCAAGATCTGAGTACATTAAAAAATTAATAAATATACATTCTTAAATTAAAAGCAAGTGGTAATGCTGAAATTATAAGACAACACAAAAAAAAACTAGAAGTTTAGGTATGGCTTACTAAAAGATATTAATGAGATGTTTAGGTAAGGGCTAGTATGTGATATTGATGAGAAGTTGAGGTACGGACTAGTAGCCTATGTGATATTAATGAGATGTTTAGGTAAGGGCTAGTATGTGAAATTGATGAGAAGTTGAGGTACGGACTAGTAGCCTATGTGATATTGATGAGATGTTTAGGTATGGGCTAGTATATGATATTGATGAGATGTTTAGGTATGTGCTAGCTTATGATATTGATGTGATGTTTAGGTATGCGCTAGTATGTGATGTTGATGAGATGTTTAGGTAAGGGCTAGTATGTGATACTGATGAGATGTTTAGGTATGGGCTAGCATGTGTGAGATGTTGAGGTAAGGGCTAGCATGTGATACTGATGAGATAAGAGTTACCCCAACAGCAAGTATCGACCTGTAGTGGCGATACACTTTATAAACTAACGGGTTTTAACAGCTTGACGGCTGTTATCTGAACCTCCAAGTTGAATCAATATCAAAATGTGATCACGCCCAAACAGGTTATCATAACAAACGGAGGGCCTCAAAGGTTAAGTCAATTACGTGATGGTGAGTTGTCCGTTTGTTTACAACTCGAGTCATTTGACTGGTCGGCACTCTGGTTAAATGTCTTGTTAAATGTCTGTTTTTGGTTAAATGTCTTGTTAAATGTCTGTTTTTGGTTAAATATTTTGCTAAATGTCTGTTTTTCTGTTTGGTCAATTGTCTGTCTGCTCTTCTGACTGGTCCTCTGACTGATCAATTGTCTGTCCTTCTGTTTGGTCAATTGTCTTGCTAAATATCTGTTTTATGTTTGGTCAATTGTCTTGCCAAATGTCTGTTTTTCTGTCTTGTCAATTATTTGCTAAATGTCTGTTTTTCTGTCTTGTCCATTGTCTTGCTAAATGTCTGTTTTTCTGTCTGGCCAATTGTCTTGGTAAATGTCCGTTTTTCTGTCTTGTCAATTGTCTTGCTAAATGTCCGTTTTTCTGTCATGTCAATTGTCTTGCTAAATGTCTGTTTTTCTGTCTTGTTAAATGTCTGTCTGGTAATTTGACTGGTGATCTGTCCGGTCAATTGTCTTGGTATAGGTCTTTTCTTCTTATCGGTCATGTGTATGTTATGTGTTTAGTATTGGTTTAAAACATGGCCATCTATAAAATCCCGACTCATATAAAACAAACCCCATTAAAAAAACACCATTAGACAAACACCATTAGACAATCATCATTAGACAAACACCATTAGACAAACATCGTTAAACAAACACACACAACTTACATCTTTGATGTCGTTGCGTCTTTCATCGATGTAACACCTCTAATCGTCAGGAGGAAGCCATTTCTAGCGGACACTTGACTTCAGTTTTATCTCCCTCTTCAATTTTTATCTGACCATTGAACACATTATCTCCAAATTACAACGACAAATCTAACTCGCTTTGTAGTTGTTTCACAAAATAGAATAAAACGATTGAAATCCAACAAAATAGCTATAAGCGTTGTAACAAGTATCGGCAATATATTTTCACCAAAATACCAGAGATAGAATTGCACAATGTAGTTGTTTAGCATAAAATCTAAGTTATGTTGTTATAGCGATAGGTTAGCCGTATACATAATAAAAATATATAATTAAACGTTATTTGATTGTACTAAATCAATACACGTTAACACAATCCAAAGAATTATTTTCAAACAAATGAGAAATCTACGGTTTCGACGTTCCTGCAGTTAAATGCACATTTTTAACATGTTTGAATAATCCACGCACATTGTATCGTGTTGCTATACCACAAACTTGCAGTATTCCAGGATAAAAAGGCCAACAGAATCAGTAGTTTTTCTTGATTGTAACTCCATTCATTGGGCTTTATCCCTTGAAAAACCTAACAAAGCCTGAAATAAAACGTAAAATAAAGTTTAAATAAAATAAAACGAAAAAAAAACCACGATATAAAGCGTTTATTTATAACACAAACAAAACAACCCAACCTGATATCTAATTTATATTTATAACAATAACAATCCAAGCCAACATAACCTCAAATAAAGCGAATATTAAATAACACCCAATTCAAGTGTATATTTATAACATAACAAGCCAACATAACATGAAATAAAACGTAAAACTATGACATCAACAACCCAACATAACATGAAATTAAACGTAAAACTATGACATTAACAAGCCAACATATTCATGAAATAAAACGTAAAACTATGACATCAACGGCCAACATAACAGGAAATAAAACGTAAAACTATCAGAGGCGTAGCTAGGGGAGGGCGGGAGGGCGGCCGCCCCGGGCGCCGACCCTAAGGGGGCGCCAAAAGGGGTAGAAAAAAATTTAAAAGCTCATTTTAAGCTGCAGTTTTGAATTATAAACAGTCAAAGTAAAGACATTTAACGGCTGAGAGCCTTTGCATACTGATTGAACTGTTTTCTACCTTGATTGTGTAACTGTAAAACGTATATGTTTAAGAAACAGTGACTGAAAAAAACGCTTTCCTAGATGGGGAGGGGGGGGGGGGGGGGGGGCGCTTTTTCGAAGACTAAAATCGAAAAAATTCACACCGGATTAAGGAATAAATAACCGATATCAAGAAACCCATTGAACTAAAACGTATTTTACGATTGTGTAACATAAAAAAAGCTATTGGCGTTTAAAATCCGCTGTAACATTTTTGTCCAAAATGGTGGGGCGCTTTTTCACTAATAAAAATCGCAGGATTTGTACTGGATCGATTGCTAGATAACTCTTTTAACACTTAGAAAAGAAATCAATTGTATTAACACTTAGTGTACGATTTCAATACCCAGTTTTGCTAAGTAATAACGCGACTAGTTCTTTGTACGATTCTTACGATTCTCTCAACTTGATCGTGATAGATCAGATACTTTTACTTGATTGCGTTACATCTTGCCTGGATCACTGCATTAAAGAGAAATAAATATAACGGATTCTTGTATCGCTATCCGATCAGTAAAATAGGAGACTGACGGAGCGGGTGGATGGGAAGCAACACTCTTTGCCAAAATTTTAAGAGAGAAGAAAATTAGTATATTGTACTGATTATTACTTTGTTCAACCTAACTGATAATTCAAAATTGCAATATTGACCTATCGAAATAGTTCTAAAGACACGACCAAAAGTTGACCAAATAAGGCTTGCACCTTCTACAAAATACACTCCAAGCAGTGGTTCTTAAATTTTTGGAGTACCGAACCCCACCAGTTTCATATGCGCAATCACCGAACCCTCCTTAATAGTTGTATCGTCTACAATGACACAATCCGATCGTGAATCCTATGAGTCGGGTGTGTGTCTTGACCTCCGCGGAAGCCCTGAGACTGAATTACCGAACCTCTCGGGTTCGATGGAGCCCACTGTTCTAAACTCTTTTGATTTTCTACTTTTTATTCGTTTCGGCATCTTAAGGGGAATTTGATTGGCGTCCAGTGAAGTTTTAGGGAACGACAATGAGCGTAATTGTTACTTTTTTTTCCAGACTGTCGCACACACAAACACACACGCATATATATATATATATATATATATATATATATATATATATATATATATATATGGGGGGGGGGGCGCCAAACTGAAAGATCGCCCCGGGCGCACGGAGGGTTCGCTACGCCTCTGAAAACTATGACATTAACAAGCCAACATAACATGAAACAAAACGTAAAACTATGATATCAACGGCCAACATAACATGAAATAAAACATGACATCAACTAGCACACCATGTCAGTAATGCAGCACACATGTAATTGAAAACAAAAACAAATCAGCTGTGGAATCCACACCTCACTAAAACAACAGTCATTAAGACGTGGAATCTAACGGGCATTGAATGAATCATTGTTGTCATTCCCACATTGTGTTGTACGATATTAATGACCTATAGGCCAAACAAGATTACGTATAAAACTGATGTATTGTGAGGACTTCAACCTGATCAGTTAAGATCAGTGAATTTTATTAGATCATTTTATGTATCGTGAGTTTTCTGTATTGTGATGATGTCAAACCAGATAGGTTAGGAACGTGAATTTTATAAGATAAGCGTCCCATTGACGTCCAGATTAGCTTCCTTCAGACGGCTGGCATGACGTCAGATTGACGTCCAAGATTACGTCAATCTGCAGTCTGACATTAAGATTCAATTTAGTACAACATTACGTCTGTCATTCGTCTGACATAAAATTTTAACTGCATCCAATAAAACGTCCCTTTGGCTTCTGAGTTTGAAATACGTCCAACATCACGTCCGTTTGACGTCTGGCATAAAGTTTCAATGACGTCCACAACACTCCACATAACATCAAACGACAGCCAGCGTAATGTCCCTCTAAAGTCTAACACAACACATCACAACATCCCACGTAACCCTATCCTGTGGGACCAGCTTGGTGGGCCCAGGAGTTACTGATCTTGCTCCACACTGCCCCAGATGTCAGACATGTTAAACCATGTTTCTGCCAAGACAAATGTCTTCCTACGCCCCCACATTCACTGATGGATCCTGCTAGACGCGTCTTCAATCTGAAATAATTCTGCACAGAAATGACAATTATTGTCGTAGGTTCGAATCCTTCTGATGCTACGTAAGAGAGAGAGAAAGATTTACGACACCATTACTCAAACAAGTGTTTATGTTTAAAACTTGTGTTTCCGTATTGTTATATTAGTTTTGTAAACATGAACTACAGGTGGGTTAAAAATCATGGTAAGGAAGTAAACAATGTCTTTCGACGTCACAGATATGTAAAAGGTATCGATTATTGGAGATGCACCATGTGGTCGAATGGTAGGTAGTCACCCAGCTAGGAGGGAGCTGGGGGGGGGGGGAAGGTCATATACCCCCCCCCCCCCCCCTCTTGTACCATTAAAATGAAAATTTACTCACGAAAAGTGACAGCTATTGGGGACTGAGTACTCGCGTCACTTTACAATTTTAATATATTTCGTAATGTCCTTTAAACACCGTTCTGTAAATTAGTGCATGATTATTTTTTAAACAAAGTAAATGGGCACATGAATCGTTTTGTAGATTAAATGATGGGTAGGTCCATGAATAGTTTAGTGCATTAGAAACAGGAATGGTTGCTTGGATAGATTTGACAAAAGCTATGTGTAAGCGACGTACATACAGACATATTCTTTATTTAGCCAATCATGTGATGAGCTGGTTGGCTATCTTCGACATTTCTCTAAGTAGAAGTACAACATCAAACATACTCGTGATATAATCAATAAGCAGTTAAAAAAACCATACGGCGTGGTCGAGTCGGTAAAGCTCATGGCTGCTAAACCGAAAAGTCTCGAGTTCGAACCCAAAATCAAACAACTGCTGCCTTGTAGTTTGTTCTTGGTTGGACAAAGGCTATGGAAGCAAATTCTAAAAGGAAAGCAGGCTGAAATCGGAGTCAATGGCCTCAATGGCGCATAACCAGTTGACACGTATCCTTAATTGTGATGGAGGCGTGGTCGAATAGGCAAAAGCTCATGGTTGATACATTCGATAAGGCTCGATCCCTTCCAACACTAAACATTAAGAACGAAGAAGAAGAAGCTACAAGTTTTATAAAATCTATTCCCCGTCTCTTTTAACCCAACCGTCCACCACACCTGTATTTCACAGCTGTTTCGGATTATTTATTTTCAATCAATCAATGTCGGTCTGAAATTCTAGCTGAACAATCATGTCTCCCGATAGCACAGATTGAAAGAGAGTTGCTCTACCCTGTTCGACGACGTGCACTGAGGTTTTGCTTAGAGAAACTCTTGTCTTATCTAGTTAAAAAATTGCTGTCCAAACCTTACTACAGTACACTTAAGCAACCCGTCTCACACCCGGCCCCACCTAATCGACATTTTATCTACCAACGTACACACAAAAACTACCCGACCCAACCTAATCGACATCTTATCTACCAACCTACACACAAAAACTACCCGACACAACCTTAGAAGCAATTCACAAGCCATACAAAACTAATAAGCTACCAGCTATTGCCTGGTACACAAGCGGAGCTTATGAAACCACAAACTCTGTATGGGTAGTCTGTGTCTGTATGTTTTAAACATGCATGGTATATATATATATATATATATATATATATATATATATATATATATATATATATATATATATATATATATATATATATATATATATTATATACACATAATTATATAAATATATATATATGTCTGTATAGTAAAGATATACATATAACTCATATATATCTCATATATGTATATATATATATATATATATATTTTATTTATTTATTTATATATATATATTATTTATTTATTTATATATATATATATATATATATTTAAAGTCACGATTGATTATAAACAAAAATTGCTGCAGTCATCTCTCACCTGCTATGACTCCATTATATCTAGGTATTCCTCTGCTATCGTATCATTTGATCCTATCGGTAATTTGTTGAGAAGATCTCCCACCTTAACTTTACAAGGCCACAGATCAACAGCGATCAGATCCCAAATCTAAAGCGGCACACATCGAAACCACACGACCAGCAGACGTCAAGCCAGGTCTGCTTGTGTGCTATGTGACTTGAGACACCGGGGCGGGGGAGCGGTCGGATGTGACTCATGTCACGTGGTACGGGGCGAATCTTTTGTTGCTCTGTTTATTTGTCCCACATATTCTGGTGGGGAATTTTTTTCCAACACGGGTAGCTGCATATAAAAATAGTTTCACTTGGGGCGTCACGGTTATTAATGTCCAGAAAAGGGGTATTGATCTTAAGGGGCGTATAAAATCAAGTGTTGTTTGCGTTTCAGTAATTCTGATGTTCCAAGTGTATTATCTGCACTTACACTTGTACATCCAGTGCTACTGATGTTCCCGTCTAATATCTTCTGTCTAGTGCTACTGATGTTCCGTCTGATATCTGATGTCTAGTACTACTGATGTTCCCCTCTGATATCTGCTGTCTAGTGCTACCGATGTTACCCTATGATATCTGCTGTCTAGTGCTACTGATATTCCCGTCTGAAATCTGCTGTCTAGTGCTACTGATGTTCCCAGTCTGATATCTGCTCTCTAGTGCTACCGATGTTACCCTATGATATCTGCTGTCTAGTGCTACTGATATTCCCGTCTGATATCTGCTGTCTAGTGCTACTGATGTTTCCCTCTATCTGCTGTCTAGTGCTACTGATGTTCCTTTCTGATATCGTCTGTCTAGTGCGACTGATGTTCCCATCAGATATCTGCTGTCTATCTAGTGCTAGTGATGTTCCCCTCTGATATCTGCTGTCTATCTAGTGCTACTGATGTTCCCGTCTGATATCTGCTGTCTAGTGCTACTGATGTTCTCATCAGATATCTGCTGTCTAGTGCTATTGATGTTCCCATCAGATATCTGCTGTCTAGTGCTACTGATGTTCCCCTATGATATCTGCTGTCTAGTGCTACTGATGTTCCCCTATGATATCTGCTGTCTAGTGCTACTGATGTTCCCCTCTATCTGCTGTCTAGTGCTACTGATGTTCCTTTCTGATATCGTCTGTCTAGTGCGACTGATGTTCCCATCAGATATCTGCTGTCTAGTGCTACTGATGTTCCCCTATGATATCTGCTGTCTAGTGCTACTAATGTTCCCATCATATATCTGCTGTCTATCTAGTGCTAGTGATGTTCCCCTCTGATATCTGCTGTCTATCTAGTGCTAGTGATGTTCCCCTCTGATATCTGCTGTCTATCTAGTGCTACTGATGTTCCCGTCTGATATCTGCTGTCTAGTGCTACTGATGTTCTCATCAGATATCTGCTGTCTAGTGCTACTGATGTTCCCGTCTGATATCTGCTGTCTAGTGCTACTGATGTTCCGTCATATATCTGCTGTCTAGTGCTACTGATGTTACCAGTCTGATATCTGATGTCTAGTGCTACTGATGTTAGCTCTAATATCTGCTGTCTAGTGCTAAGGATGTTCTCCTCTAATATCTGCTGTCTAGTGCTACTGATGTTCCCGTCTGATATCTGCTCTCTAGTGCTACTAATGTTCTCTCTGATATCTGCTGTCTAGTGCTACTGATGTTCCCATCTGATATCTGCTGTCTAGTGCTACTGATGTTCCCCTTTTATATCTGCTGTCTAGTGCTACTGATGTTCCCGTCTGATATCTGCTGTCTAGTGCTACTGATGTTCAGAGTCTGATATCTGCTGTCTAGTGCTACTGATGTTCCCGCCTGATATCTGCTGTCTAGTGCTACTGATGTTCCCTCTTATATCTGCTGTCTAGTGCTACTGATGTTCCCAGTCTGATATCTGCTGTCTAGTGCTACTGATGTTCCCAGTCTGATATCTGCTGTCTAATGCTACTGATGTTAGCTCTAATATCTGCTGTCTAGTGCTAAGGATGTTCTCCTCTAATATCTGCTGTCTAGTGCTACTGATGTTCCGTCTGATATCTTCTGTCTAGTGCTACTGATGTTAGCTCTGATCTCTGCTGTCTAGTGCTACTGATGTTCCCGTCTGATATCTGCTGTCTAGTGCTACTGATGTTCCCCTTTTATATCTGCTGTCTAGTGCTACTGATGTTACCATCTGATATCTGCTGTCTAGTGCTACTGATGTTCCCGTCTGATATCTGCTGTCTAGTGCTACTGATGTTCCCCTTTTATATCTGCTGTCTAGTGCTACTGATGTTACCATCTGATATCTGCTGTCTAGTGCTACTGATGTTCCCGTCTGATATCTGCTGTCTAGTGCTACTGATGTTCCCCTATGATATCTGCTGTCTAGTGCTACTGATGTTCCCGTCTGATATCTGCTCTTTAGTGCTACTGATGTTCCCGTCTATCTGCTCTCTAGTGCTACTGATGTTCCCATCAGATATCTGCTGTCTAGTGCTACTGATGTTCCCCTCTGATATCTGCTGTCTAGTGCTACTGATGTTCCCCTTTTATATCTGCTGTCTAGTGCTACTGATGTTCCCGTCTGATATCTGCTCTCTTGTGCTACTGATGTTCCCCTTTTATATCAGCCGTCTAGTGCTACTGATGTTCCCGTCTGATATCTGCTATCTAGTGCTACTGATGTTCCCAGTCTGATATCTGCTGTCTGGTGCTACTGATGTTACCCTCTTACATCTGCTATCTAGTGCTACTGATGTTCCCTCTGATATCTGCTGTCTAGTGCTACTAATGTTCCCATCAGATATCTGCTGTCTAGTGCTACTGATGTTCCCCTATGATATCTGCTGTCTAGTGCTACTAATGTTCCCCTATGATATCTGCTGTCTAGTGCTACTGATGTTCCCGTCTGATATCTGCTGTCTAGTGCTACTGATGTTCCCGTCTGATATCTGCTGTCTAGTGCTACTGATGTTCCCTCTGATATCTGCTGTCTAGTGCTACTGATGTTCCCCTCTGATATCTGCTGTCTAGTGCTACTGATGTTCCCTCTGTTATCTGCTGTCTAGTGCTACTGATGTTCCCCTCTGATATCTGCTGTCTAGTGCTACTAATGTTCCCAACAGATATCTGATGTCTAGTGCTACTGACGTTCCCTCTTATATCTGCTGTCTAGTGCTACTGATGTTCCCTCTGATATCTGCACTTCTGCAGGTTTAACATTATTCTGGAACAATGGGTTAAGCGTTGTGCTAGATAGAGGAGTTTAACTTTGCTACCGTGGGTACAGAGAAACAAACTAAGCGTAGAAGAAAACTAATGTTTAACTTCATACTTTTGTAAAAAAAAAAAATTTTAAAAATCTTTTTTCGAGATATGGGTGATGTCGTTTGGTGGTGGGACGTGGCGCTGAAGGGCTCATGTTTATTTTAGTACCGGCATGGTCAAAAGAAAGATATTATGTAACATTTCAAATCTGTTGAGTCAAATATTATTCTCGAACATTCCGCCAATTTTTCTATAAAATGTGTATGTAAAGAATGTACTTGTATATGTAATGGATGCGGGTAGCTTATAAGTGTAAAACAAAATGCATGTAACTAAGTGTAAACAACATAAACGTCTATTTTCACTTGCAATGTGTGCGGTTGGATTGTTTATACTAAATGTCAGAAATATACATGAATTTGGTACAATGTTTCTTCCAGGCAGAAAATATATACTTTTAACGATGACCGCCCTCCACCCTCGGAAATTTTTGTCCGTCCCCGGAAATTTCAAGTGCCCCCCTCCCCCCCCCCCCCGCCTCCCGGAGAAAAACTGATATGGAATATACCTTTAAGTTGTTTTTTTTAATTACATCACTATTCCAAGTAGATCTATTACATCTTACATGCAGTAGGATAGACGATAGCAGGATACAAGCAGTGCGCAGATAATTGACTTTGTCACAGAGAGACCATGCCAGGGCGTATTTCAATTTATTTGTTGTAAATGAAAACGGAGATCCGCTGTCTGGCTTCTTAGAATATATGAGACGACAATTAGTTGAGGTCACGTGTCAAATGTCGGCGTCAGTTGTCGTGACAGGCGTTGTAGGGTGACATCACAATGGAGCTATATTTAAACACAGTGCCGACCTTGACATCACGATGGAGCTATATTTAAACACAGTGCCGACCTTGACATCACGATGGAGCTATATTTAAACACAGTGCCGACCTTGATGTCTCTAGATCCAGGAAGTCTCTGTGACATCACGATGGAGCTATATTTAAACACAGTGCCGACCTTGACATCACAATGGAGCTATATTTAAACACAGTGCCGACCTTGACATCACGATGGAGCTATATTTAAACACAGTGCCAACCTTGATGTCTGTAGATCCAGGAAGTCTCTATGACATCACGATGGAGCTATATTTAAACACAGTGCCGACCTTGACATCACGATGGAGCTATATTTAAACACAGTGCCGACCTTGACATCACGATGGAGCTATATTTAAACACAGTGCCGACCTTGATGTCTGTAGATCCAGGAAGTCTCTATGACATCACAATGGAGCTATATTTAAACACAGTGCCGACCTTGACATCACGATGGAGCTATATTTAAACACAGTGCCGACCTTGATGTCTGTAGATCCAGGAAGTCTCTATGACAACACGATGGAGCTATATTTAAACACAGTGCCGACCTTGACATCACGATGGAGCTATATTTAAACACAGTGCCAACCTTGATGTCTGTAGATCCAGGAAGTCTCTATGACAACACGATGGAGCTATATTTAAACACAGTGCCGACCTTGACATCACGATGGAGCTATATTTAAACACAGTGCCAACCTTGATGTCTGTAGATCCAGGAAGTCTCTATGACAACACGATGGAGCTATATTTAAACACAGTGCCGACCTTGACATCACGATGGAGCTATATTTAAACACAGTGCCAACCTTGATGTCTGTAGATCCAGGAAGTCTCTATGACAACACGATGGAGCTATATTTAAACACAGTGCCGACCTTGACATCACAATGAAGCTATATTTAAACACAGTGCCGACCTTGACATTTCTCTAGATGCCGGAAGTCTCTGTGACATCACGATGGAGCTATATTTAAACACAGTGCCGACCTTGAGGTCTCTAGATGCAGGAAGTCGCTCA